TCCGTCATTTCTACCATACCACCTTACACCAATCTCTTCGTTATCGTTCTCTTTTTTTGCGCTCCTTAGCTTTTTTTCTACTTCTCTTCGAATTCTCATTGTTTTATGTGGCGCATATATATTGGCGCTCTCTTGTACCAATATTCATATGTTCAAATAAATAAATATGAATATCACAGACAAGATAAGAGTAGAAGATATTCAAAGACGTTTCACACGCCAACTGCTAGGATGTAACTCGATTCTCGATTACACAAATAGATGTGAGCACCTCTCTTTAGAACCTTTATGGCACCGTAGGCTAAAGAACAGTTTAATATTTCTCTACAATTCGATATATGGGCTCCTCTTTCTAACCTCCTGTTCGACTATGACTCACGACCCAGCCTATAGACTTGGAAACAACGCATATACACTACTTACCGTAAAACACCAAAAACAAATGCGTTGTAAGTTTTTTACTGCACGGTATAGTTTATTAAGGAACAGGCTGCCAATGCCTATCCGTAACTGTGATATGTTTGCCAGATTCAAAAAGCTAATAACCCTATTTCTAGACTCTAAAGAGATTAAACATTTCCTTGAACTCCCGCCCACCAATGAGGCACTTTATTATGGACCGCCTAATATCTAGACAGAACAAGAATATAACGAGCCCTACAGTTATTAATGTGAATATAACCAAATCACTGAATATATGGCTTATCCTTTCCTATTATTCATTGTTTATTAATCATGGCCTTATGCTCCTAACCCTCACTTTCACTTCCCATGTGTCTCCACAGGTTAAATGTACATTATTCTTCCTAAAAGTCATGTCTTTTTTCTATTGCAAGTAGACAGATAACTCACTAATCTTATGGATGCTGATCTACTAAGGCCGATCATACAAAGCTCAAAATTTGGCCACAGAGTCTTGTGAGTTTCTCAATGTTTTATTTTCCTTACCCTAAAATCTTTTCTTCTACAACTTTATACCCTTTCATATCCTTTGATTTGCTATTAGTCCTTACTTCTTTAAACCATTAGTTATCTTCCTAGTAGTGTGAGATACTATGTGAACATCTAGCCCATAAAACACGTTTTTTAACTGTCTGATGTCACGAACGTAAGGTATTAACGCTGATTTATCATGCTAAATGCCTCATTAAATCGTGTTGCGAAAGTTGAATTGGTTTCACTTCCTACCCAGTAATCCTATTACAAGCAAACTAGACAATGCGCAAAAATACGAAGCCAACTCAAGACCCTATGATACCTAGAAAAAAATAATACAAAAATGAAAAGGGCTCCAATAGCTTCGACTAAAAAAGGAAGATAGCCAATTGTATACCACGATACTGCTTTTAGCACTATATTTTATAACCACGCATAATCACGCATATTCCAAACGAACACAAGGTTGCGATTTCTAGAAGCCCCCGCCTTCAATGGATCTATACTTGACCATCAGTTGCACATTCGGCAACGCTTCAGGGGTATCGTTCACTGATGAAGGTTGCTCTCACTTGAAGGCCAAACTGTCGCAAAATGATTGGTGCGTCACATCGACAATTTAGTGAAAATTTTCAGAAGCGGTCAAATCAAGACATTTTTAGATTTGAATTGAGTTCAGACACACCATGTCTGACAATGCTCATTCTTCAAGTAACGAAGACGATGCCATCGTGATGATGCATGATTTAGGACGAATCTTCAATGATATTACGTTATTTCGAAGATTTACAAGTTGGAACAATTTTGAGACCTGTTCGAAAGAAGTACATAAGGTAATATGACTTCTGTGGTTAATGATTATTTTTTTAGTATACGCATACTAAGTAAGTTATGTACAAATGCAAGAAGAACAGTGATGATCCAAATCTGAAGTACTTTTTCGTGAGATATGTCTTCATATATGGACGTAAACGCAGTTCGTCAGAGTCAGATGCTTGCGTTCAGGATGTATATTATGATAGTAATCATCATTCTTCTGAAGAGCATATAGAATTATGATCTACTATAATATTAGTACTGCTCTAATAATAGACCTAATCCTAAAATTATAGACTTGTCATGATATAACTGCCTAATCTATAAGATCTTACGTGGAAGTCACATCATCGACTACAACAACACACTGTATCTTATCAATTACCAATACATGATGTTGAACAAGGTTAGGCTAGAGATGGGACAATATGTTTAATATGGATAGAAGATATAAGGTAACATTCAGCAGGGTCCACGTTTGCATGGCCGAGCAATGCCATTCGATCAACTCCAATTCATTCAATTCATTGTTCACACCTTCTCCATCGTTAGGTATTTCTCCGCGTTAAATATTGAGTATCTATTTTCCGAGTAATCTCGCATTCAGCTTTGAAGATTGTGTGGTTATTGTCCAATGTCACTACACTACTCTCCCACCAGAACCAACGTGGTGTTGGTTCGATACCAAGTTGGATGAGATGGTCGCGCGCCGGAGGTTACCAAGAATTGGTAGAATCCTCCGGATATTGATAAGCTGAGAGATAAATCAAAAAGAAGGCGGCAGCATCTGGTCGAGAAATACATGTAATAATCTTAAAATATCTGCTTTCATGCTTAACTTACTTGAAATGAAAATTTGGGTGAAGATTATTTGAGCTATAAAAAATGGGATTACAATAATAATAAAAATAATAACAATAATAATAATAATAAAACGATGCGTGTTAATAGCCATTGGTTAATAACTTAACGTATAGGTAGTAAGTATTTTGTGTTTAGAAATTAATATTGTAGAATATTGTAGGAACGTTGATATTGGTGTAAGTTTTGGTTTAAATTATGAAATCAATCTACAATTATGTCGGTAACCTGTTCATATGTGATTTGCGATTGCATCTGTATTAGTAGGCTAACTGAAAGAACAAAAGTATTACCGTGAAGAAGAATTCCAACTAGTGTTCCAGTTAGTTTGATACGGTTTATTTAGTTACACGGAGATTTTCTCAACCTCAAACATGAGTGTATTCGTAAGAGACATGCTCTAGACTCAATGTTATGATCTGCGATAGACTATTTATTTATATTTATACTTGCCGGCTGATTGGGCATACAAGTTAGTTGCAAGTATGCAGTTTATCATGAGGCGGAATACGATTCAATTGAGATATAGTGATTATAAGTTATTGAAATCAGTTAAGTCTATATGTCACATTACTAGGTGATGTGCTGCAAGATGTATTTGGCTAAATAAGTTTTTACAAGATAATTAACCGTGAGTGATGCTCATGTGATTATCAGGGAGGACATAAGTTGTAACCAAGGGGAGTACACTCCCAACTCATGTCTAGGGTAATGGCTTGGACCTTAATCAGTGTTGGGGTAAATCAGACATTGATGTTCTCAGTTTGCAGGAGATTTGCTCGACAGCTTATACTGATTATTTGCGTGCATGATTGTGCCACTAAACCATCAATTAGACTGACAAGGTTTTGAGATATTTACTGAATGAGCAACTGATAGAGAAACATACTGTAATCATCTGTAGTGAATGAAGATAGAAGAAAACAACACTAGTGATAATTATAAGTCAATTTGCTGACCGATTTTGTTAATAGTTTCATGAATTTTACCAATCATATTACGTGATTGTGATCATTTACGGCATCAGCACGTAAGCTGGACAGGCCTTGGATGACTTTCGAAGAACATCACATACGATCTCACACAATCTGGTTACCCGAGACCAAGATATCTTGATTATCGAATCGTTCTTTTCAGTGCTTTCTCGTAACAGATTTATATTAGTACTTATTTCTGCTATTGGGTATTTTTGCAAGAATACCGGCAGCCAAATCATTGTAACGCTACACAAGAGGTAGTAAAGCTATCTTAGCTTGGTCTCTGTTAAAATCTTCACATAATTATACATCTTCCTCATGATTATGATTTATTTCCTGCAATATAATAATTTGGTGGCTAATATATCTAACTGTAGAAGATGATATTAACATATTGGTATGTGTTATTATCATCTATAGCACATACATAATATTTACAACACTCACGAAACCTAATGTTTTCACTATCAAACTATTTCTGCCATGAAAGTCGAACAGAACAGTGAAAATCAGCAAAAATTTTGATAAAGACGGGAAAAAAGATAAATCTTGCCATTGTATCGTTACTTGTAACGCAGTTTTGGTAGCCTTGACGACAATACAATACAATACAATATATTCAGTGACTTGGTTTTATTCACATTAATAACTGTCGGGCTCGTTATATTCTTGTTCTGTCTAGATATTAGGCGGTCCATAATAAAGTGCCTCATTGGTGGGCGGGAGTTCAACGAAATGTTGAAGGTCTTTAACAATGAGAGTAATACCATCTGATACTGATATTGTTAACAATGCACCTTTAGTGGGAACCGACGAACTGGATAAAACCATCACCGTTCCAAATAGTCCGAATGTCCTGAGGAATGAAAAATGGACTACGGTAAGTAGGAAAAGAAACAAAAGGAAAAAAGTTGTAGGCAGTACACAGGTAGTTGGTAATTCACTGATGGAGTCTCATTGTGAGTCACAAACTGTACTACCAAGTAAAGCTTCGTCTAACACTGTTGTGAGTCACTCACAGGACTCTGTTACAATAAAGCTAATCGTAAGATATCGGCAGTTAATATACAGGATCTATCGTCACAGTCGAAAGCTGTTAACACAGTTTCAGAGGAAGCTAAACCCCTTCCTAGTTTATTTATTTGGAATCTAGAGGAGTCGGAAGACAACGACCCAGCTAGAAGACATGCACATGACCTGCAGTTAGTGGAGTCTGTGGTAAGAAATGTACTACCTGAAGAGGTTCCAGGGGTACATATTACAAAAGTAATACGACTTGGTAAATGGGTTGGAGGCGGGAGCCAACCAAGAAGAATCCTAAAGCTGGTTCTCGGGAGTTTCGAAGAAAGAGACATATTATTGAAAAACGCACCAGAAACTCGTGACTCAAATATCCGTATTCGACCAGATTGGCCGCTTGAGGATCGAATCAAGTGGAAGAATGCTCTTATGGAGTCGAGGAATTGCAAGTTAAATGGCGAAAATAACCTTACCATTAAGGGTTTTCGGGTAGTCAGGTCTTGGAAGCCAATGCTTCCGAGGCCTGTATGGGTAGAACGATTGATCGCCAAAACACCTTAAGTGTGTGCTACACGAACGCTCGTAGTCTTAGAAATAAAACGTCCGAGCTAAGTCTGATGGTGGAAGAATTATGTCCCGATATAATCGTTGTTACAGAAACTTGGTTCACAGTAGATATAGACTGTTCTCTGTTCATTGCAGGCTATATCTGTATTAGAAGTGATAGAGTTTCAAGTCGCAAAGGGGGAGGTATAATATTATACGTTAGGGATCACTTTCGTATACAATCAACCATATCGGAGGCTCATATCAGTGGCACATGTGAGGTTGCATGTTGTAAGATTAAATCTAGAAGTGGGTTAGTGACTATAGGGAGGATACACCGTAGTCCGTTTTGTCTTGCCGACGACTTTATCCTAAGACACATCTGTTCTTGGAGTATGGCAGAATGTTGTCTCATCATTGGGGACTTCAACGCACCGCATATCAGCTGGATAGAGCTTACAGCTCCAGGTAGTGGTTTCGATAGCGACCTTTTATCTACCGTTATTCAGTGTGCACTTGTACAATGTATCACGAAACCGACACATATTGATTTCAATCATGATCCGTCACTGCTGGACCTCGCCGTCACCCACCACTGTGAGGATGTCTTTGATTTTCAGCACCTTCCCTCACTAGTGAACAATGATCACGTTGTAATTCACTTTAAGTTTAGGACACATGGTATACAATTCGTATCTGCTCCACCCCGTCCCAATATCTGGCGAGCCAATATTCTGGCGATCAGAAACTGTGCTATCTCGACTGATTGGTCGGTCGACGCGAATCGATTGATCGAAGATGAATGGAATAAGTTTAAGGCTACGTTCGAGTCCGTAACGTCGCCGTATATCCCATGATCAGCACGTAAGCTATCAAATTGCCCTCCATGGATTAATAAGGAAACCCGGAAGCTGTTAAAGCGTAGGAAACATTTCTGGGACTTATTCTTGTTGACAGGTCATGAACCATTTAAGCGTGAGTACCGAAAATTCCGTAATATCTGTAAGAAAACCATAGCCAAATCTCGTACCACTGACGAACAACAGTTAGTATATGACAGTCGTACTTGTCCGAAACGATTGTTTTCGTATGTTAAACGGCGGACGAAACGTAGTGATGGTATTCCCCGTTACTGTTACACGAAAATCCAGAATCACTAGCTGAATCAGATCGAGCAAAAGCTGGTACTTTTTCAAACTATTTTAGCAAAGTCTTCTCCACGTTTATTTTAACAAATACTTGTCCCACTCACACCGAGATACCAACCATGGAATCTGTACAGGTGACTGAGGAAACTGTCCTTCCGTTGATAACTAAACTCAAACCTGGTAAGACACCGGGCCCTACGGGTACATCCACGGTTGCTGTCATTTCTCGAGGACATTATTTCCAAACCGCTCGCGAAACTCTTCAACATGTCCCTTTCACTCGCTCAACTCCCTAGAGATTGGAAGGACGCTATAGTCAGTCCTATATTCAAGGACGGTCAGAGACATATAGTATCTAACTACCGGCCTGTTAGTCTAACTAGTATAGTCGTTAAGTTACTTGAAAAGATAATTCGGGTTAGGTTGCTAAGCCACATAGATTTACACAATCTGTTGGCTCCTGAGCAACACGGATTTCGTAACAAGCGTTCATGCTTGACTAACTTGCTTATTGCGAGGGAGGATTGGACAGCAGCCCTAGATAACGGTCTGTCTGTTGACGTGATATTCATAGATTTTAGCAAAGCGTTTGACAAGGTTTCACACGTAGGTCTTATGCAGAAGCTCACGAGCTTCGGAATAATAGGTACTGTACATGCGTGGATAGGAAATTTCTTATGTGACCGCAGACAGAGAGTGAAGGTTAACGGAACAGTATCCGATTGGAAGCCGGTCAAAAGTGATGTACCTCAAGGCACCATCTTAGACCCCCTGCTCTTCCTTCTCTACGTTAATGAGTTACCGCTGTTACTTAGGTCGTCGACATTATTGTTTGCGGATGATGTAAAAATCTGGAGAGCAATAAAAAGTGCGGCTGATCATCTGGATCTTCAAGCTGATTTAGACGATTTAGTTAGATGGGCTCGAGAGTGGGGCTTAGAAATCAGTGCTCGGAAGAGTGTGCTAATGCACATCGGTCACGGTAATAGTTACCGTTACACTATTGAGGGAAATCCTCTTCCATGCGTTCAAGAGCATAAAGACTTAGGAGTAGTATTAAGTCATGATTTAAAATCAAATACGCATTCCAAAGCAGCCGCTGTCAAAGGTCTTCGTGCGTTATGGTCACTTCGCCGAGCGTTCAAATCTTTTGACGAGGAAACGTTTCGAACTTTATATCCCACCTATGTAAGACCACACTTAGAGTACTGTATCCAAGCAGCTAGCTCGTGTCTGGTAAAGGATACTAACTCCCTTGAGCGTGTCCAGCGTGTGGGAACGAAATAAGTGAAGGGTCTTTGTAGATTCCCTTACGATGAGCGTTTAAAACGCCTAAATCTTTTCCCCTTGTCGTATCGTAGGACACGAGGTGACCTTATACTGGCATTTTGTATCTTTAATTATAATTTGGGTGTTAATATGTCTTATCTTCTTGCTCCCTCCAGCACTAATAATCTCCGTGGTCATAGCAAGAAAGTTCATAAACCAAGATCTAATAAACTTAAAGTGGGGTCCCGTTTTTCTCATCGAGTAGTCAATGATTGGAACGCCCTACCCGAACAAGTGGTATCAGTCCCATCAGTGAATACTTTCAAAGAGAAGCTGGACCTTCACTGGAAAGCAGTGCGTCAGGATTAATACAGGTTCATCAACCTACTATCCTTATTACTGAAGACTGAAGACTGGGTTGTTTATTCCGAAGGACTTTAGTTTGACGAGTAGCCTTTTGTGTGGGACCTTATCAAAGGCTTTCTTAAAGTGTAAGAATAGGACTGATACAAGGAGTCCGCTGTCTCATTTCAGAGTTATATCATTCAGGTAGTCTACTAGGCATGTGTCGCATGATCTGGACCTAATAAATCCATGCTAGGAGGTCGAGACGAGATTATTAGTAAGTAGATGTTGGACTACAGCCGCCTTTATTTCTTTTTCCATCACTCTGGATACCACTAAAGTTATGTTTATGGGCCTGTAATTTTCAACATTTGCTTCAGGTCCTGTTTTAATTTTCAGAATGATATGTGTAGTTTCCCAAGCAGTAGGATAACACGCTGTAGAGAGTGATATCGCGAATATTTTGGGAAGCAAAACACACATATCATCATCTCCACGTTTTAGCATGCTAGATGGAATACCATCTGGTCCATCAGTGTAGGAGTGTTTCAATGTACTGATTGCTTTGGAGATATTTTGTACATTGAATTCTACATTAGTAATTTCACAGGGAGGTACTGTGATTGGTTCTGAATTATTGAACAATTTTTCGTTAGTTAGTGAGGAACAAAAGTGTTCACTAAATAATTCTGTGACAAGTTTGGGATCTTCGTATACTTGTTTGTCTTTAATGAACATGCTCCCTCTCGATTTAGAACGTTTAAGTTTATTTTGAAGGAGAATGGTGAGTGCAGACGAGTTATTATTAAGTTCAACTGCACGGTTTTCCTGTGCGACTGCTTTTTGTATACTTATTGCTTCTGTTTGGACAAATATTTGTCATCGTTACTAAAGAGGAAAAGTCATTAAAGTTGTGGAATCGAGTACAGTGTCTTTGAAGACGTCGTCTTGTACTGGCCGGTATATAGAGATCTTTGAGGAACGTAGGTCTACAGTATTCTAAAGGTGCGATGTTGTTGATGTTGTGATAAAATATATTGGTTGATGTGTCGGTATTGTTTGAAGTGAAGAAAGTTCTCCAATCAGTGCTTCTTAGGTAATTGTGTAAGTTATTCCAATCAACCTTGTGATAGTTTCTACGAAGTGTTACGGTTTTACGTTTACCGGTTGTGGCTTTTATATGAAGGCTGCATATGACAATGTTATGATCATTACCTGGAAACTTTTTTCCAATATACAAAGTATTGAGGGTGAGGCCATTGGTAAAGACTAAGTTCAAGATGTTTTGATGTCTGGTAGGGCCATTGACATACTGAGTCCATTGTCCAAGCTCTAGACATTCAATAAATGATTCATAACGTCTCGGCGCTTTGACTGGGAGCCAAGAAACTTCGGGCATATTGAAGTCACCACAAATAAGCTTGCCTGTGAATGGGAGGGATGATGCTAGTGTGAATACCTCCGATAATACTGCTGTTTCATCTACTGATACGTTAGGTTGACGATAGACACAGTCGAGCAGTAAGCTGACGGAATTCACTCTTACATGTTTCCTTATTCTGTATCGTGAGTCTTGTCTTATTATTGTTATTATTGTCATCAGCTTTTTTCAATATTATATTTGTGGTAGTATATAGAATTCTCAGCGCAAAGTGTTTCAACAAGTTTCCGTTTCTTTCTTCTTGGTCGGTCCTGGCGATAGATATCGAGTGATCACCAGTTAGATGTTAGCAGTTCAGTAAATGAACATCTGAAATAATGTGCATTATTTTCGTTGTATGTTGCCAGCAACCACATTGTCTCTGATGATGATAATAATAATAATAAGACAAGACTCACGATACTGAATAGGGAAACACGTAAGATTGAACTCAACTGCTCTATAAGTATCCCAAGAACGTTGAACGGGTTCTCCCCACTGCTATGATATAACTTGCCTTCAACACCTCGAAGTTGCGAAATGGGTGGTGGGCTTCAGCGTAACAAGCCTTCTTACACGCAGCCTAAACTCAATAGTAACAATGGTAATAATAGGTTTCTCACTCCACACCCTATCTACATTCCCCAGGATCACAACTGTAATTGCTCTAAGAAAGAAACTTTTCACACCCTTTAGTACCAAGTTATCACATAAAAACGGCTCGCATGTGTAATAACAGTCGCAACTTCTTCCAGTTACGCGCAGCAGACCTCTGTCACGCTAACGTAACTAGCCATAACAGAGGCTACCAGTCTAACCATCAAGACTGTTTTGCAAATAACCATACACTTCACAGTAGGCCTGTACAATAATGTTTTGGAATACGACTCCTGGTGACACCTCTGTTGAAGCATATAGCCCAAGTTATTTCAAACCACATGCAAACCATGAATTTGTTTCCTCCGTACAGTTTCCATCAGAGAGTACTCCGACCATTTCCCCTTGGGTAAACTCCACAATCAACTTCACTAGCTCATTTGATACATCTCCCACTAAGTCTAGCTATCAAAATACCGAGCTAATGAAGAACATTCAATCCCTCACTTCAAACTCATCTCACACCCGCGAGGGTTACGACGACTTTATCCGAGATACTCTCACCCATAGCAGTATTATAGGAGGGATTCACACTAGCATCATCCCTCCCATTCACAAGCAAGCTTATTTGTGGTGACTTCAATATGCCCGAAATTTCTTGGCTCCACTTGTTTTAGTGCTTTCTAACTGTTAATATTGTCTGTAACACGGAAAAGACAGTAAATATGTATTCTCCACTTTGCTCAGTGTGCTTTTTGCAGTAGTTGGTTTTTTCTTCCACTTTTCGACTGTTCATTAAAAAAATACTTGAAAGTCAATTGGAGTTGCTAGTTGTATAAATGATGTAAATATCGATTGCACTGTCCTGACATTTATATAGTAGGTAAGTACCTCGAGCAAGGAAAAGTAAATGGGGTATATGTATATGTGTAATAATCATGCTTTAGACATGTATTCAGTGAATGTATTTTCTAAATGTTACTTGAAACTACTGTGAGATTGGGTGAATGAATGAACAAAGCATTTGATTGTTGCACTGACCGACTGAAATTCAAATTGTATGGATGAAGTATCAGTTTCTTCAATAATGCAAAATACGTATTTTATAAAAGTTGGAATATTTGACATTCAGGTATTGCAGTGTCGGAGTTTTTAAATCTTACCCACTTTGATTTAAGGGACCAGGAATTATCACTAGCTCTAATTTCGAAAATGTGTTTAAATACCAGGTAAATAAACGGTATATTTAGTTAACGCACCGTTCGGATCTTTGTAGATAATCATGTGTGCCATTACTCGCTTTTGTTTTTTACTGTATAGATATATTGACCTAGTGAATCACTACAATGCATTGTCTTATGATTCTCCAGTATTTGCCAATCTAGTTTTTTGGCGTTGTCAACAGTTATGTCATGTGAAATATAGACGTGCACTATGGGGTGAACATCAACAAGTTTTAAATTCACTTCGTATTGTTTTAAATCAGGCTAGTTGTTAAGTCTGTTTTCTATTTGCTTTTTGTTTTGTTTTGTTTTACCTGTGGTCTCTATTTCTTCATTATTTGAATATGTCATGCTTATCTCAATTTAATTGTATGTTATTATTGGGTGTGTTGACATGAACTTATAATGTGACATATATTCTAATAGTTCTATTCAGGTTTTGTACATTCATTGAATTTCTGTTTAGATGTGACGGTTTTTCGAATTGTTATATTCTCTTAGTTTTCATTTCAATTGTTGGCAGTTATTGTGGACTTAGCTTTTATTTAGGTTATCTTATGTTGGTAAATAATCTAAGAGATATTCTTCTTTTAATCATATAGATAGGCGCTTTCAACGCTACAGAACATTTTACACGAAATGAAGTTTGTTCATATTTAGCCTATATTTTAAATAATAGTAAAAATAGACTGATGAATTACAGTTGTAAACATAATGGGACGATTTAGAGAGCAACTAATATAAAGGAATTAGATTTCTCCCCATTGCAAAAGTCAGTTGGCTATCTGAACTGATTAGCTAAGTAGACAACGTGATGGTGTTTGAAGCGAATGGTTCTAATCTTGGGGTGAACATTAACTGTGGGATGCAGGTAAATCTAGTTGGTGAGTCCCAAATAGGACGTAACACGCTTTCTGGATTTCACTCCTGGTTACTATCCATCCCTGTTTAAAAATGCTTATGAATTGCTGACATTATCAAAGCAATCCTCACAGAGTGGACACTTATCAACTGTAGTTGTAAACATCAAAAAGTGACCAACGATATTATCCGCTTGTTCAATCCAATGCAGGCAAAATGAGCCTTAGTTTTAAGACTGACTAACTTTCCGGAAGTTGGACGCCTTAACTACTATGTCACTTTCATACTCATAGTTCATCCTAAAAAGAGCAAGAACAAAGATTCCTTGTTTTGAAATTTATTCTGCCATGGATATCACTTAATCTTTATTCCCGAATTTTTATTATTTCTATTCATAATTCGTATAAATATATCTTGTTATTATTTTATTTTATTTGGACACATGAATATTGGTGCAAGAGAGCGCCAATTTATATGCGCCACACAAAACAATGAAAATTCGAGAGGAATACAAAGAAAGAAAAAAAAAGCTAAGGAGCGCAACAAAAAAAAGAGAGAACAATAACGAAGAGATTGGTGTTAGGTAATGTGCTAGTAATCAGGGAACGCAAAACTACAATCGGAAGAAATCTTTCAGGCAAGGGAGACAAAACCACTTTTTATGAATAAAGTAAAAGAGGGTTAGAGCAGGATCGCCACTGGCTTCTATTCTGAGCCATATCTGATAACATCTCTAGCCACTGTGTCGCACCATCTCTCAAACCCCAACCAGGGAGTCGTGAAGGACCAACACAAGCCAGTCCTTTGCAGCTTTCCTTCATGCCACGACACCATGTCATGCACTGACCACCTCTCCGCTTCTTCCAACCAGTCCCAGAGTCGGCAAATAATGCACGACGTGGAATTCTCTGGGACGACATTCGGAGAACATGTCCAAGCCACCGAAATCGGTGTTTCAAGAATGTGACACCAATTGAATTATCATCTCTGTGCCCGAACACACGATGCCGAACCTCTGCATTACTGACATGGTGTTGCCACTGAATGTCAGCAATCCTTCGGAGACAGCGATGATCGAACACAGAGAGTCGTCTAACGTCCTCAACTCGGAGAGACCGGGTTTCACAAGCATAGGGCAAAACTGCTCTCACCGACGCGTTGCAGATCCGACCTTTAACAGCCAGACTAACATCACGAAGGCGCCAAAGGTGGCCCAGATTGGCATAAGCCACTCTGACTTTCACTATACGTGCATTGATCTCATCACTCACACCCCCACTAGCACTTATGCAGCTACTCAGATACACGAACTTCTCGACTACGTCTATCTCCTCACCATCCAGGGTGAGTACAGGATTGGAATCCTGCCAGTCTTGTAGAAGTACTTTGCACTTCGAAGGTGCAAATCACATACCATACCTACGGACACTGATTGCCAACTGATTAAGTCGGATTGCATGCCTTGGGCATTATCGCACAGTAAGACATTATCGTCCGCATACTCAAGGTCGAGAAGTCTTTCTCCAGGCAACAGATCCACACCACCATTACTTACATCCATCAGAGCTGTTTCCAGAATGTCATCGATGGCAAAGTTGAAGAGGAATGGTGAGATTGGGCAACCCTGCCTAACCCCACTGCTCGAATGGAACAATGGAGAGAGGTGGTTGTATGTCCTCACTCTGCCTGAGGTGTTTGTATATAGGGCTTTTAGGATGTTAATAAACTTCTCAGACACACCCTTCTTCAATAGACAATCCCAGAGAACAGTTCTGTCCAACGAATCGAAGGCAGCCCTGATGTCAAGAAACACTACGATTGTTGGCCTTTGATAAGTATGGCGGTGTTCTTATATTTGGCGGAGGGTGAAGATATGATCAATACATCCTCGACCAGAACGAAGTCCAGCCTGCTCCTCGCGAGTCAATCTTTCTCGGGTTTCAACAACCTACGAAGTATGACGGAAGCCAATAGCTTGGACGCAATCGGAAGTAGACTTATCCACCGATAGTTGTTACAGGAACGACGTGAACCCTTTTTAAAGATAGGGACAACTATCGACTCATTCCATGACGTTGGCACACTCTCTAGTTCCCAAACCTTTGTAAACAACGTCGTCAATTCCTTAGTCAGAAAGTCACCACCATCTTTAAAAAGAGCCGGAGGTAAGTCATCTGGGCCAGGTGATTTGTAACGCTTCAAGAGTTGGAGTTCCTTGCGGACTTCCTCCTCGTTTGGTGGATCAGTCGTCACCGGCCATGGAGGGCAGGACAGTCTGACCGATGTTGCCGGAGCAGCAGGCCAGTTGAACTGCCCTTCGAAAAATTCTGCCCACCGTCCAAGACGTCGATGGATGTTAGTGATTGGCATCCCATCATCCTCGCAGATTGTTTCACTCACACCAGACTTCTTGCTGCCAGTGGCTCGGATGAGCTGGAAGAGCTTCCGGTAATTACCAGATGCAGCTGCTGCTTCCAGCTCATTAGCACGCTTCGACCACCAGGCTTCTCGGTCCTTACTCAAGCTTTGCCCAATTTCCTTACATAACATCCTTCGTTTATGGTCAAACTCACGGTCACCCGGAGTAGACCGACGGGCTTCAATGAGTTGTAAGGAACCAGAAGAAACCCAGCGCTTAAAAGCGGGACGTTTCGCAAACCCACAACTGACTGTTCCCGCCATTTTCATGGCGTCATGCAATTGCAACCAATGCTCATCTATACTTTTCGGTGGAGTGGTAGCTAGCCTAGAGGCTAGCTCGGTTCGATACTTATTTGCAACAGAAGTTGCAACCAGCTTGCTAACATCAATCTTTTGGTGGTGGTCACTTCGTTGGCCACTGAAAAGTAAGGCAAGATTGGCGCAGACCAAGGCATGGTCAGAGTCCAGATAGGTACTCCAAAAGGAGCGGGAGTCTTTTACACAACCACGCCAGCGGTAGCTGATCGCGATATGATAAATCTGAGTCCAGGCTTGGGATGCAGAGGGAGGACGCCAGGTGGCACATTGGCGATGACTGTGCCGAAAGTTAGTGCTAGCCAGAAACAGGTTGTGGTCTGAGCACAGTTGCAGTAGACCGTCCCCGTTATCTGACCTGCGACCAACGAGTCCCCATCGGCCACCTAAACGACTCTCTTCTGTGCCTAGACGCCCAACCTGAGCATTCAAGTCTCCGGCTAGTACTACAATATCTGTCGAGCGCACTTTCTGGAGAAGAACAGATAACTGGTGGTAAAACTCATCCTTGATTGCATCCGGGCTGCAATCTGTCGGGCATAGACGAAAAGACATCGTTTCTCATGCCGGTTTCTTCTCACTTGGATAGAACTTTCTAATCTAACAGCACATAACCGACCGTTAATGGGAATCCAACCGATTAGTGCTGCCTCAGCTCTAGCGTTTAGTGCGACATCAACACCAGCAAGACCAGACGACGCCACAGGGTCCCCGGATAAACGCACGTAAAAAAAGCGTTTTGAAGCGACAGATTACTTACTTACTTACGCCTGTTACTCCTCGTGAAGGAGCATAGGCCGCTCACCAGCGACAGATGGAGAGCGAAATTGTAGTACTTCACCAGTCTTGAATACGAGTCTTGGATAGACAACAAACGTTGATATTACGACTTTCCAAAGACATAGCCAGCCCTATATCTTGTTCGATCGGCATTAGTGTGCGGACGTTGAAGGCAGCCAGTTTGAATGGTGCACGTGTTTTCAGAAAAACTGTTTCAGTATTCGTCTTCGGTGGTAGCATTTAATTTTCGACCAGTCAGTGACTCGAGATCGTTTAGATAGAAAAGAGTTTCCACCAAGGGCGAGCTGCCGTATAAGTTGAAAAATAAGAATACATAAAGTGGGAATGAAAGAGTGAATAGAATTTTCAGTAAATATCGCCATTTTCATTTTATTTGTGTGTGGGCTGGGAAACTGCTCGGGTGATTTTCTTAGGAGGCCACACCCCGAGCCTTTGACCTGAAGGTCTGACCCAGAAGACAGTGGAGCATTGTGAGGAGATGCAGTCCCATGGTAGCCGGTGACTAACAATTGGTTCATACGCCATTTGTTCCCTCAGAGTACTGGAGCCCATGTGCACCATTGGTTTGGGATCCGGTTAAATCGCCGGACATTCGCTTTTCGTCCTCTCAATTTCGTAAACAACACCGCCGCCACGAGAAGGCAGTGAGTAGGACTTCCCTGGGAGAGGCTGTATACGCGTAGCCGTGTGAGAGCATTTCGAGAAGGGCAAGCCCTCCCCGCTCTTGGCCATACCAGGGCATTTGGGGGCCATAGGTGACGTGAGTTGTCATAAACCAGACGAGCTTTTTAAATCCGCGCAGAGATTTCGTCAGACATCAACCCATTAGTGCTAATCAGACTTCAAAGGTAAGTGAAGCTGTCAACGCGTTCGACTAATTCACTCCTTATCCTTAGTTCAGGTGTTGACGCAGGCCACTCCTGAAGCAACATCTTGCATTTTGAGGGGGAGAATCGCATCCCAACTTGAAACGATGCACATATGTGCCTGGTCCTACGTTGTAGCTGACTGACTGATTAGCATTTACGCTTTACCATTTCTGCACGTGTATCTCAATCGTGTAATTAGACGCTGTGTTACTTTGAACATCTATCTTTATATCCATTGGATTGTCATATCACATACGTAATCCGACTTAGAATAAATAACGAACAGTTTTGAATATATCTTTAGACAGCCAGTCATAATCAATGTAGAATCCAAGAACGTATATACGTTTATCTAAGTTCTCACATATTAACGTTTAATTGCAAAGAAATTTAAATAATGTAGCAGCTACCATTCTAAGAAAGATTAAACAATCCGGATATTATTCGAAAATACAGGTGCACAATCTTTACTTTATAGCGCACGATGAAAAAAGGAATGAATCTGTGCCACAGTCAGTCAGTCACAACGTAGAACTTCGTACGTACGTACATCAGTTCGAGTTGCCACACCACATTAGCACAGAGATGCAGTTGTCAATTCAAATCCCGTAGTGCTAAAGTTAGTCAAAGTACAAGCAGTAATCGGAAACATTAGGCTTTGAAGATGTTATTGAAGAAGTATAATACAGTGAGATAAATTTGGAAAGAGAAAGAAAGTAACATGAAGAATTCAGAAGATTAGAGTTTGGGAGAACATAAAGAGTGGATGCACCTGTGCCATTGCAAACGATTTTGAGCCATGTCATTTAGGGTCTCTAGCCATCGGTTGCTAACATCTCGCGGTCCCCAACCAGGTAGTCTACACCCACCAATATAAGACTGTTCCACTGTGACTCATTATAACACATGTCACCACTCAACGTTTAACTTGATAATCTAATTACTGTAAAGGATTGAATTTTATCAAAAGAGAGTTACATAAATAAGTGATAATAACCTAACTCAGTTTTATTATTCTTTTATTCTTTAACTATCTGATTTCTTCATTCCAGCTATTTATACAATAAAGATAATCGGGATAGTGAATTTACTCAACAATTTGTACGTTTATGTAAATTATTACCTCAAATGACAAATGTCAAACCAACATCATCATCATCATCGTCGTTGCCGTTGTCGTCGTCTATGCAAGCAATCGTTAATAAGACTGATATTCTAAATTTACTATGATTTTTTAAACAAACTAATAAACAATGGTCACAACAAACGAAATCCATCGAATTGAATACAAACTTACATGTTGGTCTACATGATTCATTAGTTCATTTAATTCATAATAATGATGATAATAATGATTATGCCGACATAACTAGTGCAACAACATTTAATGAAGCTATTTTCAAAGCATCTATTGAATGGTACAATAGTGATACACTACCTAAGCATCGTCAACTTTATTGGATTGAATTATTTGAAAGAGTATGAGGAAGGCAGTAAAGGAGAATCAATTTAATGGAGAAAATAAAGTTTAACTAAAACCATACATCTAAAGATACTACTTATTTACTTATTATCAAATGGACATACTATGATATTTACAAACATGTAAATAACATTTAATGCTGTATTCTATTTATCATAGTTCTTGTTTCTATAAAAAGATTATGAAAAGATTCATTCTCTTATTTGATGATGTTTCAGTCATTTCACTAGCTAAGCGTACAATTACAATTGTGTTAAAACAATGAAGGCACAAGTAATTTATTACACTGAACTAAGTATTTTTCACTGGTAATAAACAAGTCACTTGGTGATGGAAAAGATCTCCAGTATTAATGGATGTTTCACATATATAAATGTGATACGATGAAATTATCTTATGAATAAAAGAAAACTGGTTTGTAGAATTCTAAATGTAGCAGAATATTTTAGGGACTATCTGTGCTTTGTGTAGTAACCAAGGTCATAATATATATCTAGTTTTCAAGTAATGATCGATCAAGTTGAAATTTAGCCATTTGTCTTTACTGACTTATGTTGTGTGTACTGTGTTTTTGCGTATCGATTGCTTAGAGTTATCCGGTAAGTGTTGATTTGTAGGGCTGGCCTTTTTCTCATTGTTTGGATTGGTCAGCAAGACGTATGTGTAGTTTTAAGGGAACTGATGTCGACTAGAAGCTTAAAAATAAGGATAATATGTGTAAGGAATCAGAAGCGCTTTTGATCAAAGTTGAGAAGGAATGATAAAAGGTAAGTCTCACGATCCTTCATATACTGACCATATGAATATTCTACAAACGAAAACTGGCGAGTGAATAGCGACAGGTTCATAAAGTGGAAAGGTAGTGTTATAGTTAGGCTTGTAGAGGCAAATTTTCCCTATATCTGACTCCGATTGCTAGTATTCCGTTAACTGAATATTTAGTGAAGGTAAATCTCCTAGTAGAATTATGGATTTACTCGCGATTATTCAAAAGCCTGAACACCAGTTATCGAGATAGTTTACTGTTAAAGATTGGTACACGGCGAGACTCTAATTTATGGAAGACCTCTGAACCAATCTGAAGTGACTTTGGGAAATATTATCCAATCAGCAAACAGTTAGTATAGAGTAAAAATATGTTATACAAAATCAAGGAAATAAAGTGGATACATTTCAAAACTTATCAAGGTTGGGAAGTGGTTCTAAAATCGTAATGCATGCAGTAGAGGAAATCGTCCATATGGCTACAGAACAGTCGGCCTCTTGAGCCATGATAAAATCTCAAAAACTCTTTCAGCGTCAACCACATATTGTTTATGTGCACCTCGGTTGTTGAGTACACAAAATGCTACTTGTGGATAACGACACGATGAACATAACCAAGCCTATGTAGGAGTCTGTACACTCTCCAAACATCCGGATATATTGTAGTACCTGGCTGCAGACAGTGTTACTGGTGCTTTTATTATCCAGTTCGCAATAATTGTCGTAATTCGCCGTAGTGAGGAATTATATATGGGGTTTTCATCACAAACTGACATCAGCTATAATGCCAGAAATTCATTTAGCCAAATGGAAGAAAGGCTTTCGCGTTAACATCCTAGATCTATTATCTTATACCTGATTGATTCGTCCACAAATTATAGTCCCGCCGTTTTATTTGTTATAGCCGCTCAATTATCATGTTTTGTACAAAATTCCCTGTGAACCGACCGTACGTTAGCACAAAGCACTAAAGTTTGCGCCGTCACCTTGAAATCTCTAACAGGCATCTGATTGGCTCGTCTGTGAATTAGAGTCTCGCCACATACATATTTACTCAAATAAACTTAGTTTCCTACCTTCCGTCCTTCCTCCTAAGTAGTCGAGATCATATACAAAAGTGTGTCAGCATCAAACGGTGTGACAGTAGGCTTCACAACATGCACTAACTGCTTGGAAAGATATATGATACGAATAGGCTAAACACACGGGTTTTCTAAGCTGTCCAGTCGCTGGTCATTTTGGATGTAATGGTATCATTTCAAGAGAAACTGTGAGAAAATGACTTCAAATGTTGTTATACTTTGCTGAAACTAAATTTATTCATTCGATAAGATACTGTACAGTTGTCGATATTACTTTGGTCCGGTTACCTCAGTTTTTAATACGCATGCTTTCAGTTATATTAACCTCTTTCCCCGTGTTTCATTATTATCTGACCTCCATTTATCCAAACAGTCTATTTTCATTGTAGTTCATATTCCTCAATATAAACCTGTTCCCATGACATTCTGTTTTTTTCTTTAAAATTCATATAACTAATCTGTCAATACTCAACCATATAAACTACTTCATGTTCTCTGATATAAACTATATCCAAGTAACCGCTAAGCTACTAGTATTTGACCACAGATGCCTTAGACATATTGCTCACATCTGCTGAGATCACCGGGTAAGTATCTTTCTTTCTACGAACAAATTCTTTCTTCCCGTACTATGTCATTATACGCACTCTTCCTCTTATATATTACCACTATTAACATAACCACTACTATGGATCCGGTGTTCATCTTGCTGTGCTAATGTGATATGGCAACCTGGAACGATGCATATATGTGTATAGTCCTACGTTGTAGCTGACTGACTGACTAAATCCCTAATATATTTTGAAAACTATCGTTTCTAGGTTATAAGCAAAATTATTCTCAGCGAATGAAATCAAAATAATTTCAATGTTTCATCCAGAAAACTTATCTGAACTTCTTCAGTGTAATACAATCAAAAATTATCACAGAAAATTGTTTTCTCTATAGTCGCAGCCTAATTTTTGGCAAACCATTCGTTCAAATATCAACGGATATTTGTATAAATTGTCTAGATCCTTAATACAACTGGATACATCTATCTCCATTCAATAGCCAATTGATCTTCCTATTTCTTTTTATCTGACATATTTAAATCAACAAAACGAATAATTTCTGTTCTATGATTTATTTATAATTCGCAACCCGTAAATAATATCTACAAAATGTTCAAGTTTTACAAGTAGAGACCCGTTCTTAAACGGAGCCACAAGAAACGTGAGAAACAAGTAAAAATTGATAATTATAATTTATTATTATTATAGTAAAGAGAAAAGATCTGTACAAACGAAATCAAATCATTGTGTATTTCTGAAGAAAGATATGAGGATGATGATGAAGAGGATTTAGATGGTGATCTTGATTAACAAGATGATGACAGGATCAGGGCGGCCTGCTTGAGCATCTGGGCTACCTGTTCCTGCCATCTAGATATTTCAACAAGTTATCTATTGTTGTTTGTTTTAATATATCATTATGTTTAATAATCGCATAACCTATTCTGCTGCGTTTCTGAAGAGTTTACAACCTTTCGTTGTCAAAGTTACAGAAAACTCAATAAGAGACAATATGGTTGCTGGCAATGTACAACGAAAAGAATGTGCATTATTCAGTTGTTCATTCACTGAAGTGCTAACATCTAACTGGCGATTCCTCAATATTTATCGCCAGGACCGACCAAGAAGACAGAAACGGAAACTTGTTGCAATACTTTGCGCTGAGAATTCTATATTAAACCAAAATTATAATATTGAATGAGGCTGATAATAATAATGGTGGTGATTTAAATGGTGATGATGTTTTTGATGATGGTGATGATGATGATTTTGATGTTTGAGATGATGATGATGATCCATTTACGAGGACACTCCAAAAAAGTTCATAAGCCGAGAACAAATTACTTGTCAGCTGACTATCGACTTTCCCATCGAATCATCAACGAGTGGAATTCACTACCTCAGCACGTGGTTGAGGCTCCATCCGTCGACTCTTTCAAAAGAAGGTTGGATCAACTGAGAGACCACCATTGACAGGACTAACATAGGCCATCGAGCCTCCTGTCCTTCCCAAACTGAAAGTGAAACTGATACTGATCCATGCTACCACACTTATGTAAGGAAATTCATTTATAAGATGAGAGAGAGAATGAAATGGAAATAATATCAATTAAGACATACAGCTGATCATGGAAAAATATACTTACCGTGAAACAAATTTATCCATTCGTCTACGGATGATAACAAGTGTAGCTACACATTTGTAGATGGGGATTATACTTGAAAAGGTCAACTATACAAGTGAATTGATGCGTTTACATTTACACAGGATGATGAAATACATTGAAGCCGAAGATAACTATTTCTCAGTGAGCCTTAGAAGATATGCATCTCAACTCTAAAGCTTTTCAGTAACTGATCTTTAGAAACAAATCACGGTCTGAATTAAAACCTTTCCCATTACTTACTCGATAGCCACCAGTCTCCGAAACGTTGAAACCATGAGCTTCGTTGACATATGATTCATTTGACTGTTTGTTAGCCTTGGCGGCTTGGAATTCTCTTAGCTATTAAAAATGATGTATAGGAAAGAATGTGATGTATGGCAAAAAATCACTTCATAATATTAGTATATGTGTAGTTCATCTACCACGTAAAACTGAGAAGATAATGTCAAGTTGAAATTGTAATTGTTCGAGGTTCACAATTAAAAACTATGTCTCGGAAAGCAGATGTATCATGCA